GAGAGAGAGAGAGAGAGAGAAAGACAAAGACAGACGGACAGACATATTTCTGTTACTAGCTCCCGAATTGGTGCTCTCACACTTCCTCGCCTATATGTCTTTCCTATGTCGCCTTTATACCTTACTTTTGTTATTATCTCTTTTTCTCTCCTTTCTCTCTATTCCCCTCTTTCTTTTCTTACCCACACACACTCAGACACACACACACACACACACACACACACACTCACACACACTCACACACACTCACACACCCACACACACACACACACACACACACACACACGAGGACCACCAGGCAGTCTCGCGTGTTCACAGACTACATCACACCCACCCGGAGGTTCAAACCAAAGCCTTGTGTAAACACAATGGCAGGGTATGTGTGGATTGTCTCAGAGACCCCTCGCTCATCCCATCAGCCAATGTGAGGTCAGCTCTCCATGTCCCCACTGCTGTCTCTGAGTCGAGTAGAAACCTTTAAATCATTTCTGGAAAATGGTCTCCTACTGAACGATGGTGTGTGAGTGTGTGTCTAAAGATATTGTTCCGAAAAGTGGATGTGTCCTGTTTTATTTTTATTTATTTATTTTAAAACATTTTGTTGACAGTTTTACATCCTTTGCAATGCAATAATGTCGTATTTGGTGCCGGAGATTAGAGGTGTTATAAGAAAGTAACAAACACAAAAAAGAGGAGAGATACGGTTGATAGATGTTTGATAGGAAAGAAAGAGGAGAGGTAAGGTTGGTAGATGTTTGATAGGAAAGAAAGAGGAGAGATAAAGACGATAGATATTCGATAAAAGAGAAAGAGCAAATCACACTAGAGAATTCCTTTAACAACACACGTTGTTATAATCCGTGTTTTGTGAATTATTCTTTGATAAATTCTAGAATGACCCGAGTCAGATGGTGAATTCCATTGGGGACTAATTACGCCAGTTCGCTTGGTTCGGGATATTATACAAATCTATGTTTATGTCTCAATAGACGTATGTGCATTAACAGACGTTCGTTCTGTTCCAAGATCGTGTTTCATTCACCCGGTTGAAGTGGCTTGTTGTGGCTTGTCTGATAGATAGAGCATGGTTTATCACTCAACAGATTTCTATGATTAAGGCGTTTGTTCGGTTTTGGTAAAGTACCATAGTTCCTTTGATTTATATATGCTGAAATATATAATGGCACTTGTGATACTGTGCCCTGTGTATGTTACAAGTATCGTTATAGACTTACTTACAGAATAGAAACACGCACACACACACACACACACACTCACACACAGACAGACACACACACATTCAAACACACATACACACACGCACATACAGAGAGAGAGAGAGAGAGAGAGAGAGAGAGAGAGAGAGAGAGAGAGAGAGAGAGAGAGAGAGAGAGAGAGAGAGAGAGAGAGAGAGAGAGAGAGAGAGAGAACAACTCATCTTGAACGAATAACTTCATCAGCCGTTGTCGAATGGTCAGACTATGAGACCTCCATGGGTTCACATTTATGTCGTGAGTTTTTTCCACCTTTGGCGCGGAGTACGTTCGGAAATATCCGGGCCGTTATTTTATTTACACAGCTCACCGCCTCTCCCACCCATGCCATGCCCCACTCTCTCCCCCTCTGTCTGTCTGTCTGTCTGTCTGTCTGTCTGTCTGTCTGTCTGTCTGTCTGTCTGTCTGTCTGTCTGTCTGTCTTTCTCTCTCTCTCTCTCTCTCTCTCTCTCTCTCTCTCTCTCTCTCTCTCTCTCTCTCTCTCTCTCTCTCTCTCTCTCTCTCTCTCTCTCTCTCTCTCTCTCTGGCAGGCACAAATCAAACCAACCACGCATAGTTTGGAGAAGCGGAGTACAAATTGTGCAAATACTTTATGTACTTTTGGTATTTTGGTGGGTTTTCTGTCTCTGTTTTCATTTATGGGCGTCAAGTATCGAGACTGTTATCGTATATTTTTTTTTATGGGTGACCCCGTGCGGAGGGGGGTGGGGGGTGGATGCACAATTTAATCTTTTTTTAAAATGTCATAACAATTTATGATTTTATAAAAAGTCATGCGAGAGTTTTGTCTTTACATGTATATATAATATATCTCTCTATGATGTATTGTCCTCTTTCCCTTCCTGTGTTGGTTGTATCAAGGCTGTGATCTAGATGGGCGATAACCGTTGCCCGCATCTGGATGTTCCCATGGTCTTTGGCTGGCAGAAACCCCAGTCCAGATCTGCGTCATAAGACTCTGGATCCTCTCGATTTTATCGATAACCTTTACATGTTGCCATCTGCCCTCGGTTTTTGATCTACCGAGTAGCGGGTTACTTTGTTATTGCTACTCGGTTGTGTATGATCTGTTTCTTTACTTTCTCTCCGGTGTTTCTGTATGTCCATCTTGCTTGTTCCCAGCATGATATGGCTGTTATTATATTGATCTCCTTCTAGCTGGTGGTTGGAAGACGCCCCTGGTAGATCTTACTTCTATACTTTCCTTTTCTGTTATTTCTGTCTGTTAGTGTTACTTTTTTCCCCATCACTAAGTAACCGTTATTGTGTTGAGCGATGTGCTTTTCACTCCAAATAATAAGAAAAATAAGCGAAGTCTACACCATGTTTTTGGGTGGTTGGTGGGTGCGTTGGTGTGGTTTGCTCCTTCTTTCCTATCAAACATATACCGTGCCGATCTCTCCTCTTTACGTTTTGTGGGAGTTTTTTTTTCTCTTATAACACCTGTAAACTTGTGCACGTATTTGACCTAATTTTATTGTTGCAAGTGCCGTAAAATTCTTCCTCAAACTAAACCACGTCTCCCTCTGTGTGTCTTTCAGATTTTGGCCGGCATCTCCGAGGTGGAGGAAGCCCACGTGACCCAGGACTCCAAAGACCTTGACCCAGCTCCTCCGGCTGACCTTGGCCTTCTCCAGACTGGAGATGACCCCGAGCAGAGGTCACCGCGAGCCTCCCGCTCCCCCGCCCGCCCGGCTGGCAGACCACGGCGCGCCCCTCGTCGGAGCCTGAGCCTCCCCACGGGCGGGCTGTCGTACGGCGAGGTGAAGATCTTGTACAAGGACGGACACTTCGTGACGGTCGACACCAGCGCCGCCTCTTCCTCTTCTTTGGCGGCCTCGGCTAGAGGTGATAAGAGAGGAGGAGGGGAGGAGGAGAGCGGGGTGATACCAGAGGAAGGAGGAGGAGGTGCAGGGAGTGAGAACGCGGATGTGTTTTCCTCCGGCTTTCAGAGATCTGGACGACGGTCCCGGCGAGGGAGTGGCTCCCGGAAGAACAGCACGGAGGATCTGGACGGGGGGATGAGAGCGGAGATTCTGGCGCTTCTCGAGCGTGGAATTACCGACCCTCAGCGGATTCTGACGGAGGCCGCCCTCGCTCTAGACTCGGGATCTGGCTCGGCTTGTGCCGGGTTTGATGGACGCAGGACGCGAGCTGGAGCACCGGTGTTTCTCTCGTTACCCCGTCGACGTCACAAGGGTCAGAGGCCGATGTCAGTGGACGAGGTGCAGTTGTGGAAGTATTACAGCAAGAGCCAGCAGTCGCTGGTGAGTCAAGAGGAGATGGAGAGAAGAAGGAGGGAGGAAGAGGAGGAGGAGGATGAAGAGGAGAGGAGGAGACTAGGCAGTGAAGGAGGTGGCAGAGATGGTAATAACAGTGATAGCGGTAGCTTGAAGAGGAATAAGAGTTTCACGGAGGCCATGGGTTCGAATCTGATGCTGAACGATGTGGGTGGTGACAGCGGACTTGAGCTCTCGGACACTGTTGGGGAGAGACTTGCGGCGGACGAGCTCAGAAGTGGGAAGACCCGCGGTGCAAAGGGACCGGGATTTATTCAGCGTATGCTTCAGAAAAGAAAAGGCTCATCAGGGGAGAAATCCGGTACTGTCGGCGCTCAGTCATCTTCATCATCGTCATCATCAGCAGCAGCATCGTCATCGTCGTCATCTTCAACGTTCCCACCACCTCTTTTGACGTCGGCTTCATCGTCGTCGTTATTCTCCAGATCCTCCCGAGACGACCCCCAGGCGTCGTTATCGTCGTCGTCGTTGTCGTTGAACCAGCCCGGCACCACGTTTCCGGGGAAACACGAGGGTAGAGACTCCTCTGTCGGCAGAAAGATGTCCTTCAAGGGCATCTTCAAACGGAAAAACTCGGCCGATTTGTCCACGAGTAAGAAAACATCCACCTCCTCGGAGGAGCCGGGCAGTCCGCCGCTCGCCACTTTCCTCACCACCGACGACATCGGACACACCTCCGTGGACGCCAGGAGGGGTTTCCCGCGTCATGTGGGCGAGGTGGATCTGCTCAGAAGGGAGCAACACGGGGAGGAAGACCTTTTCTCGTCTCGGGGCGGCGCACGATCGCCTAGCCCACCGCGCGGCCTGAACGCGTCCTCCTCGCTACATCGGAGCCTGAGCCAGGACGGACAGCAAGGCAGACGTTCTGTCTCACCGCGCGGCGACACCTTGCCGCGCGACAGCCGCCCTCGGTCCACGTCCGCCCGGGCCAGGTACCACCTGCACACCGCTGCCTCCGCCGAGCGGCTTGCTGACGTCACAGATGCTATGTGGGCGCACGCTGACTCCGTGAGCACTTTCACCAGGTCGCCGTCAGAGGATGGAACCCTGACCCCTCGCTCTCCCTCTATGACCAGCCTCCGAGACAGCCCCTTCGTCGACCAGGGTGACGTCACTGTTATAGAACAAGGGGACGTGACCGTGGTGGAGGATCAAGGGGACACTACTCTTGTCTCCACGCCGGCCGGAAGCAGCGAGAGATTGTCTCCCCCTGTCTACCAGCAGCTCACCGCCAGCCCTCAGAGCGCGCGACGACGTCGCAATGCGTCACGTGACGTGGCTGTGGGCGGTCACGTGGCGGACCGTGGCGAGATCACGTCAAGCAACAGCAACGACTCGGGCATACAGCATGACGTCAACGTCAACTCCAGCGCCGAGTCCATACAGGTGAGGGCTTTTTGTTGTTGTTGTTGCATTGTTTTAGTTTTTAATTTTCACAATGATGTTTTTACGATTATAATGTTTGGTGAAGAAAAAAAAGATGATGAAAATCCCCCCCAGAGCACCCACATATCATGTTCGTTGTCACTGTTTTAACCTTGGGTGGCCCCGATTGGGATGTGAAACAGTTGGCGAGTCTGCTTTCAGAGCTCACTTGACCGATGTAGTAAGCACACTGTGGGTCTCCTGTCTCCGTGGGACTCTCGTCTCTGTGGGGCCTCACTTAATGAAACTGGTGACGTCATGCGGGACAGACCCTTTTAGTTTATAATTTGATGATTGCTACGATGTCAGAATTTATTTCTACCGAATATATTGTCATAGTTACGGTAATGACAATCCTTTTTGTCCTCCTCCTTCTTCTACTGTTTCTTCTTCTTCTTCTCCTCCTCATCCTCCTCCTCCTCCTCCTCTTCTTCTTTTTCCTCTTCTTCCTCTTTTTCTATTTTATATACTTATATATCTTATCCTATCGTTTTGTATCTTTTCTTGCCAAATCTTTTCGTCTATCTAACACCCCCCCCCCCCTTCCCCACTGTTCTTCCCCCACCCAGAGCTCGGTCAAGTTGCGCAAGTCCAAGTCTCCCTCGCCGTCCGTGGAGCGGCCCAAGTCTGACGTTACTGTCCGCTGGGCCGACCTGCTGGAGCACGTCATGGACACGGCGGCGGTCAGACATCGGCGCGACGCCGGCAAACTTCGCAAACGTCCCAGGCCCAAGTCCGATATAGGTCAGTGGAGGGATGGTTTTGTTTTTGTGTTTTTTTGACGTCATGTCATCATTTTGTGTGTTCTGCGTCAGGACTTGTGGTTTATGTCACCGTCATTACTACATTGTGAGTGTGAGAGAGTGTGTGTGTGTGTGTGTGTGTGTGTGTGTGTGTGTGTGTGTGTGTGTGTGTGTGTGTGTGTGTGTGTGTGTGAGTGTGTGTGTGAGTGTGTGTGTGTTTTGTGCGAGCTTGCGTGCGTGCGTGTGTGTGTGTTCCTGTCTTTAGTTTGTTTTACTTTACGTCAGTAATTATGTTCTACTTCATTTTATTGTGTTTTATGTGAGTACTTGTGTTCATCATCATCATCGAGTTCCGGTTGTCTGTGTCCAGGTCGTGGTTATGACGACCTGTTAAGAATGACCAGTGCTTGCTTCGTGTGGGGCTTTCGTGATCTCTTGTTCTATTGAGTGTTGCTCCGGTTGATGCTGGGCGTAGCTGTCTGGTGGCATGTGGAGAGAGAGAGAAAGAGAGAGAGAGAGAGAGAGAGAGAGAGAGAGAGAGAGAGAGAGAGAGCATTGTTTGTTTGTTTTTTTTGTATGGTTGTTAAAAATGTAATTTTTATAGGTGTTGATAGTTAAGAGACGTCTGTTGTAAAGCACATAGAGAACTTACTGTTGAACAGGGATATGTGCTATACCAATACTATTTGTAGTAGTGCATTACATGATACATTTTTGGATTATATTTTTTCAATATGACATGTTGGGGAAGAAAAATTTGCAATATAATGTGAGCGTACTGGGATTAATTTGTTCGTTTTATTTTGTTTGTTTATTCTGTTTGGGTTTTTATTTCGAGTGAACCCCTCTCCCTCTTAGTTAAGTGTTGGTCATTCCCGATCTCCCTGGTGTATGTGTGACTGGTCACGTGATCCTGTAGACTCGCGCCTAGACCTAACCTTTGTTCATCATTGTCTGTGTTATCGTATCATTTTTGTGTGTATGGTATTTGTTGTTTTTATCATACAGCGCGTTAAAAACATACCCAAAGAAGAACGACATCAACATTATAGGTTTGATGTTGTCGCTGTTGTGTTATTTTTTTTTTACAAATACATTTTTTGTAAGGAGAAAAATATGCAAATTCGAATGTGAGTAGGGTATATGTTCTTTTACGTAATTGTGAATATATAAATTCCTTATACGTGTGTGATCCATTCTGGTGTATTTGAACTCGCAGCACAGATCCACTTTGGCCTACAGACTTCAACATTAATTAGGGACCACCTGGACAGACAGACAGTTCTGATTTTTATTTTATCAGAAAAAAGACGGCACAGAATGTTTCAAAATTTTTTACCCTGAAAGTATTCATGGGTTACCTATGCGTACTGCAATGCTTCCAAAAGGGGTAAAATCATCTCGTGCTGCACGGAAATCCTCGGGGAATGTTAGCCAAATTTGCTTTTTTTTATCGACTTGTGTGCGACACCACGGACATTCCTCAGTAAACAAATTTCTGGTGCACGTTATAAACGGACATACGTTCTCGAACTGTGCTTACTTTGGTGGCAATATAAGCCGCCGTTTGCGCAAAATTCAGTATCGCATCAACGTGCCACCAAGACGAAAGCTGACTGAAAGACTTTGATCGTGTCAGAGTTACGGCATGCCTGCAGGATGGAGTTTGAGCATTGTCAGCCTGAGGCAGCGCCATCAAGCCACTGGATCAGTCCAAGAACTCCCACGTGCAGGTCGACCCAAGAAGACCACTCAGAGTGTTTGCAAGTGGTCCTTAACTTTTGTTGAAGTCTGTAGTTGAGAACCTTACAATTTGATTTGGTTCGTCAATAGACTCATGTTCATAATCATATTCCTGCCACCCCGTTCCCCATACCATGTTTTTTCTCATTTGTCCTGTGTTTTCACCTCCATTTTCCTACAAACAGATGAGCGTTTGGAAGATGAGGGTCTTTATAATGAAGAGGAAGATGATGATGATGAGGAGGAGGAAGAAGAAGGTGTTGGGGATGAAGATGAAAGCGATGATTGTGAAGATGAAGACTCAGGTAGCGAACCCAAAAGCAATGGACTGTCAGTGTAGCCTCGCTAACAACGCATCATTTATCATATTTTTTGTTTGCATTGTGTGTCTACTGTTGTGTCTCACCGCCTGTGTGTACCGGAGACCCTGACAGTGGAAGGCG